GGTCTATGCCCTGTTGTGAGAATGACGATGTCATTCGCAAACACAAAAATTAAGACACCTTTTGGTAAGCATTCGAAGACTCCGTTCATGGCGATGAGGAAGAGGGTTACCGCCAGCACGGAGCCTTGGGGAACGCCGGTTTCCTCCGGAAAAGAGTTTGATTTTGCATTTCCGATGCACACCTGGAAAGTTCTGCTCGTGAGGAAGTTGCGAATGAAGGCAAAGGTGTTACCGCCGATGCCCCAGCTGGCCAGTGTTGTTAAAACCCCCGGAGTCCAAGTGCGGTTGTACGCCTTCGAAAGGTCCAGCGTGGCCAAGTCCATGTGGAGGCCATTTTCGAGGGCGTCATCCAGAACTTGTCGGAGAGTGGCGAAATAAGTACTTGTGCCACATCCTTGGCGAAAAGCATGTTGGCCGTGGGAGGAGGTCGTTGTCCCGGATGAATTGCGTTAGTATTCGATTGACCATCCGTTCCATGACCTTGCTGCAGCAGCTGGTCAGGGATATGGGACGATATCCACTCGGTTCCGTTCGCACGGAGTCCTTCTTAGGAATAGGGATAACAAGACTATGTCGCCACTGAGCGGGGAAGGTTCGGTCTGTCCAAATTCGGTTGTAGTTTTTCAGCAGGATCCTTCTGATGATGAAGTTATTTTTACCCATCATCACTAACACACTCCACATTTTTCGGTTTCCACAACCAACACTTGTGGCCCGCTGGTTGGGTGTAGCGATAGCGAGTGTGACAGTTCTAACGAAACTAGCTTCATACAATGTACAAATCAATCTCGTTGCAGAAAACAACGAATAAATAGAAACGAGTTCAGCGATGAGTAAATTTTCCTCATGTTTTCCCAGGTTTTTCCAGGATTTTCCAGGGAAAAATTCCCGAATTTGAGAAAAGTAAAGATTGGATTCACTCAGTCTATTGGTACTACTCCGAGACTGAATAAAATTTTCGTCAATTTCCTCATTTTCCGGCAGATTTTTTAGGTTTTCCACAGGAAACCGTGAGACAAATTTTACTCATCGCTGAGTTCCTGCACATTTGGCGATTATGAGTGAACTAAACTCAAATTTGAGTCGTTCTCATTCGCCGTGTAGAACAAATGAGCGATTTCGTTGTATAAACGAAATTTTATTTTCAGTGTGGGTTCAATCCCAGTCGGCGCTGCCGGGACTGAGGCATAAAAGATCTGATCACGCCTTCCTTCTGAAGTAAAGGCTTTGGTCTCTGGTCCATGAGTTTATGGGTCTATAGGAAGGGTCCAGGTGTTGGAGCATTGGTACTCAGTACGGAAAACAAGATCGACGGAAAACAAATCAAGGAAAAAAAAGAGGGAAAAGTAAAATCGATTCGTCAGTTGGCGTGGAATTGCTCTGCTATCTCGACCTTAAATGAACTATTCATTTTGAAAAGAAGTGCTAGATTTATTACAGGCCACCCCTCCAGTTTGATTCATAGCCGTTCCAAGTAAACTTACAAAAATGACAAACCATACTGTGGGGTGACCCCAAACTTTTGATCGATGACTTGAATAACTAATTTATTAACTTAAAGCATAGGAGAAATGCAGGTAATGTCGGCCTAAGTGTCCCTAATTTGGGCCCATACATAAATTCAGCAATCGACTTAATTTTCAATAGCATCAAAAATATCCATTAGTAACGTCCCAATCTAGATAAAATTGATAAATAGCAGATTTTTAGCGAGGGCCCAATCTTAGATGCATAGGCCAACATTAGAGACATTTCCCCTATTTTACATTTTTCAACCAAACTTTCACAAACGTATCTCGATGGGTATAGAATAAGGGTTCTACTACCATTTCATTTCAACATTATGCCGAGACAAAAAAAAAAACCATTACATCGCCTGCATAAACAATTTCTAACATTCGTTGCGATGTTCATGAACAGAGGATGATAGAAAACGGAACTAACATTCATTGTAATAGATTTTTGGTTTGCGTGTATGAGTCATTCCAGCTCAAGTGGGTACAGAATTTAAAAAAGTTGTGGTCGATGTCACCGATTTGAGCCAAACTTGGCCAAAACGCTTATTTTGGCATTCTGTACAAACGTCTTTTTTGATTTTGTTCTAAAGTGCCTAGATCGTTCTGGACTACAACCCTGGATTTTCGAGATTTTAAAAAATTTCAACTTTCAGAAGAGATTACTCCACAACCAAATAAGCTATTCGTGATCTTAGAACGTCAATTTGAAGGATTTTTAATGTTAATTCTTATAGGTTTTTTTTTTCCTTGATTTGTTTTCCGTCGATCTTGTTTTCCGTGCTGAGCACCAATGCTACCGACGCCAGGGAGGCAGCTCCCACACCTGGACCCTACCTATCGACCCATCAACTCATGAACCGGGGACCAACGGCTTTACTTCTTATCCGAAGGAAGGCGTGATCAGAGATGTTATGCCTCAGAACATCCCGGCGGCGCCGACTGGGATTGAACCCAGGCCTGCTTTTGTTTTTAAATATTCATAGTAATGCGTTCTTACAGATTTTGTTTTGCAGTTTTTAAACTTATGATTGATTCGTTAACGTCGAAATTATTAATATATTTGATGTTTGTCAACAGGGTGGCCAGCAAACCGGGAAAACCGGGAATACCGGGAAATATCCGGGAATTTGAAAAGTAACCGGGAAAACCGGGAAAAACCCGGGAATTCGACGAGATAACCGGGAAAAATAAATTAACCATACCATAGGTACAATTTTTTACACCAGAATTCCAGAATAAACCATTGAAACAGAGTGATCCTTTACCAAATAAATGTCTTGCTCTATTTGCTGCATAATTTTCTTCAATTGAGAATTTAATCACTCAGCAATATTGCAAATTGATTTGTGTCGTTTCAATCTCAGATGTAAAGTGCATGGTCCTTAAAAGAAAATATTTAAGATGCTGGACTTTGGAAACAAATATTTGTAAAAACTGAAAATGAATTATTCTTTTCCGGGGTTTTAATTTTTCGTAGTTCAGAATTCTAATTGTATGAATTCCAGAATAAACTTGGAATTCTGCTTTGAATTATCATGGAATTCTTCTGAAATTAACCAGAAAACACTCCGTGTAATAATAACCGTTGAATTATTTTGGAATTTACTTGAAACCTCTTCTAAGAATTTAATTGGAATCCTTGGTAGAATTCCCTTGAACCTATTTGGAGACATTGATTCCTTTAAAAATCATAAAAAAAATCTATTAACTCTATTCAAAGCAGCAGAAATATTTCTAAATTTTATTTAGAAACGCTTTGGAGTATTTTAAAGAATTTCTTTCTAATTATCAGCAAATCAGCAAATGCTTTGCAATCAATTTTGTTGGAGCTCTTTGATGAATTTTTCGCACTAGGGTTGAAATTATTGCCAGAACTCAGTTTCTTGTTGACTTTTGATCATAATTCTCTTGGAATTCTTCTTTAAATTCATCTGTCATTTTCCTTACGATTTAAAGTTTTGTTTTTTACAACTTCTTGTGAAATTTTCTAAATTTATTGAAAAATTTAATTTCGAACTTGCATTCTTCTCTACAGAAATCCCTCCAAATTCATCTAACAATTTCTAAGGACTCTAGTTCTGGACTTCTGCTAAGAACTTCTCATTCGAAAACTGTGTGAGAATGCTTCTCAATATAGGTTCGAAATCAACACTTTGAATTCTTTTAAATTTTACTAAAAAATCCAAGTTTTTTTCGTAAGATTCTATAGATTGTTCTGTAATTTGATTTAACCCCTTAAATGCTCCCAAGACAGTTATGACTCCACGACTCATAAGTATTTTTTTTTTCAAATCTGTGATCTTGAAATTGTTTCAAAATCTCACATTTTAATTATTTTTCTCCAAATCTTGCATCACGAAGATTGTTATTATAACAAATTTTGAAAAAAAAAGTTCTAGTTTCAGACTCTTTCACAAATTTCAAACCCCAGAATCTTGGGAATCTCCATAAATCAAATTTTTTTTATCCTTTCAGTAAATTCCTTCCAGCTTTTTGTTGAATATTAACAACCGGGAAATTTTTAAGATTTAAACCGGGGAAAACCGGGAAAAAACCGGGAATTTCAAAATGAAAATTCGCTGGCCACCCTGGTTTGTGCTCAATGTGATGAAAATACGCACTTATGCCCAAGCAGTTTTCTACCATATCAGTGCCAACATTTCAAAGGGGCGTAATTGCATTTGTAAACAATAGCTTTAGCCGTCGATTTCTTGCGGATAAAAGCTCACTCATAAAAAATAATAACACCAACAGGTAGAGGAATGTTTCCTCTACCAGTTAGCATTGTTATTTTGGAGGGGTTTACTTTAAGTTGTGAGAAATCGACAGCTAAAGCCATTGTTTACAAAAGCAATTACGCCCATTTGAAATGTTGGCACTGATATATTGTGTAACAACAATCGCAATAATGACATTTGCTCGGGTGCCAATTTGCCACCTATCCAGCATGATTTTGAATCGTAACCACACCTTTACTGACTAGGTTAAAGGCCGGCGCACAATGCATTCGTTTTCGGGTTTTTTGACAGATAATGCATGAGCTAACTGTCAAAAAACCTGAAAACGTATCCATTGTGCGCCGGCCTTAACACGCCTATTCTGCGCGGCGTATGAGGTGAGATGACACGTTGTCACTTGTGAAGTGACAATTGTCACCTCGGGTGAGGTGACTCTCCGTGAAAATCAAATGGATAGTCACCTCAACCGAGGTGACAATTGTCACTTCACTGTCACCTCACCTCACACGCCGCGCAAAATAAGCCTAATAAGGATGTCTCTTGAATCATAGTAATTTCTTCGCAGAAGGATACGGTAGAATATTGCATTGCATTAACTTTAATATAGAACGTGAAAGTTACCCAAAAATCATAACACTCTCGTGGAAGATGATCCTTATCTTCGTAGACCAATAAGCGCCTTCCCCATTGTTCCAACATGTGTTCGAGTTGTATTAAAATGTCACATTTCGTTTCTTGTTTCCAGGTCCACGCTGAGAAGGAGGTCTCGTTCGACAACGGAATCGATGGCTCCGTCGCTGAGGATTGCTTCTTCGCGATGCGTGCCTTCGCCAAGGGATACACATTCAACTTTATCGAGGGTGAAATGTACGAAAAATCGCCGTTCACGCTACTTGATTTCCTACAGCAACGGAAACGTTGGCTCCAGGGAATCCTACTGGTGGTTCATTCGCAGACCATTCCCGTGCGGAATAAGCTACTGTTGGGCATAAGCGTCTACTCCTGGGTCACGATGCCATTGTCCACTTCGAATATGATCTTTGCTGGACTGTATCCGATTCCCTGTCCCAACGTTGTGGACTTTTTGTGTGCATTCATCGCCGGGTTCAACATTTACATGTACGTTTTCGGGGTAATCAAATCGTTTTCCCTGTACCGATTCGGAGTGGTGAAGTTTTTGGCTTGTGTTCTCGGAGCCCTGTGCACCATTCCGATAAATGTCGTCATTGAAAATGTCGCCGTCATTTGGGGACTGATTGGCAAAAAGCACAAATTTTACGTGGTGCAAAAGGACGTTCGGACGCTTGTTACGGTTTAATGCGGGAGATATTTGCATCTGTGTATCGGTTTTAGATATTGGAATTTCACATTTCCTCGATGATGGTCAGATTTAAGAACAGGTCACGCGCCAAGCTTGGCAAACTACTTCATTGCACTGTAGGCTTATAGGGACCCATAGATTATTTTTATCGTTTGCGAAGAAAATAAGATTAGCCAGTCAGTTGTTTATCATGTGTATATTTCGTAGGACTTTTATTATTTTTTCTGATCAAGGTAGGGTGAGTGAGCCAGTAGTGGAGGAACTAGGGCAATTTATCTATAAAGAAAAAATAATATACGATCGGCATACAATTTGTATGCATCAATCTATAGCTTTCAACCTCTATTTTCGCCAGAAAAATATTACATTGTCATTAAATTGCATACATTTTTCGAAGACCCGTCCTCCATTGGTTCTTATAATAATGGAACGAATTGGTTTCTAATGGATTCCACTATTATAGAAGCTAGAAGTCAAAATCTTAAGATGAATTAATTGTTTTTCGTCATTTTTGGACCAACTTAAAGTTTAAAGTATGTAAATCTACTTTGTTTTGGGAGGGTCTCCGATGAAAAATAAATGTATCTGGTTTTCCATCATTATTTCGACACAAACGCCATATCGCAACTAATTGGTACACCACTATTACTGGAACACCTACCCTAGTAGGAAAAACGCGTATTTAGACTTTAGGTATGAAAAGTCATGTTTTTTTCGGCTTATCCTCACGAAAAATGACGAATATATGTTAAAGGAACGATTGGTTTTCATTTTTTTTTTATTTTTTTTTTAAATACTGTACAGGCATCATATTCTGCACAGTTCCTTGTCCTGCACAGATTAGTCCATATAATTCGTTATTACAACTATAACATTTGCTTTTTGTGTTAAAGCAAAGTAACATTTGAAATAGGAAACATTTTTTTCAGTTTCGTATCATCTGGAACTGATCAGAGTATGGTCCGGCACGGTAAAGTTATAAATAGAGCTGGGTGGGTGAGGATATGAGAGTGAGTAAAAATCTGGAGAGATTTTCATTGTTATTTATTTTGTGTATATTTTTATAGCGATATTTTGCCGTGATAGACTTTTTACGTGTAAAGTTATTATATTTGAGAACTATGTTCTCCAACGTGTAGGATTACAATTAATGCAGATTAAGTAATCGGCATTTTCCCCGCTGGGTGTGTACAATAAGCCGGGGTTAGGTTCCCGGAAAAGTATTCACCGAAATTCTACTTCATCTTTATTAATCATTCATCGTTCACTTGAAGCACTACTCACGGCTTATTCATGTTTTTAGTCATCCTAATCGTTGCTTAACGTTCCGCCAAACAGTCACTACAGATTGCAAGTGAACAGTTCACAAAAAGAAAACTCGCATCACGGACAAATCTACTTATCTAGCAAAACAAAATGTGCGATAAATAGAGTATTTGCTGGTACATCACCAATACAGAAAGAAGAGAAAACGAGCAAACTGAACGTAGATAACTTACACACACTTAATTGAAATTGAAAGCAGATAAATAAAAAAATAAAAAAACACCTACGTCCACACACGTTGTTCATAATCTATTTAAAACTAGCGATGATGATAAAGCATAAGTATCAAAAATGAAAACAAAAGAAAAAATAATAAAAACTAAACTACATGAAATCTAGTTGATAACTGCTAATGTACCATTGATTGGAAGGAAAAAAGTAAAACTCAAACAAAGGTAGACAGAAAATTAAGATAGAAACTATTCCAATATCGGTAACGTCTTAAGCTTAAGGAATGTTTCTATACATTTTTCTATAGAAACAGCCATTTGATATAAACGGAATAAAAGTAACGAAAACCACTCTGGGGTCGTCCATGAATTATGCCACGCAAAATTTAGATCAAATTTACTTCCACCTTTTTTTTTTAGTCGAGCATATTGCTACCTAACCTAACATTATTGATTGGCTTGTAGCAGATCTGGTACCCTTTTCCGTTTTCTCTTAAAGCGTGACATAGTTTACAGCCGACTCTTCTCAAATGCAGGATAATTTGAAGAAGAAAGATAGAATAATAATACAATTGATTCTACCTGTAATTGAATTTCAGATACATATTAATAAAAAAAAAAATCAGTACGATTTAACCATACGGAATTGTGTTGCCGTTTTACTCAAATGGGACCAAAAGAAAATTTTACTTAAATCAGCTATCGTCACCAGCGGTGCCGGTGGTGTAGTGGTAAGTGTGATTGCCTCTCACCCCACAAGGCCTGGATTCAATGCTAGTCGAAAACAAGATCGACGGAAAACAAATCAAGGAAAAAGTATAAGGGTCTGTGCCTACGGGCACGAACAGAAGCTTGACGTAGGGCCGCTAGTGGACGGAACAAATGTGAAGAACATTTAGTTCTTTTAATTGATCGATCATCTATTATCTTAACTCTTTCCGTTTTTGAATTGTAGGCGTAACAAATTTGTAGTATTTTTTTTTCTAAGAGAAAGTTGATGAAGAGAATCGATCAAAATCACTTGCACCCCTACTTCCAAGTTTGGTTACAAGATTACAGCTCTGGAGCGCATTTTTTTTTTTCTTGGGGGGCGTATGGTTCTGAATATGGACAAACAGGCACAGATAAATTCTATTCCAACTCTTTACTGTAATAACCTTGTTGGCCCTGAAAACGGCCGTTTTGTTGCCAAAGTTGGATATGATTTAACCTCCGAAACCGTACAGAGTGCGTCTGTACGGGAATTTTGACGAGATCTCAGCTAACAAACATATTTTTTGCTGAATTTCCAGCAAAATAAAATGCCGAGCTGCTCGGTGGCGCCCATCTCGGCAAAAAAATCTAAGTGTGTAGACGACATCCATGTCCGCTTACGTTTAGCGTGTTCAGCATCACGGATCACATTTTCCAGGAACACCTTCAGCACACCTCGTAGATCAGACCGGATGGCGGTTATCACGAAGAACCTTGCGATGACGCTTGGCACCTTCTTTACCAAGACCTTTTACGCCTTTTCCACGACCATTGTTGCTTGTTGGGTAGAAGAGTGAACTACCTAACCTGCCACCACCTTCCTACTGCTGCTATTGCTGCTTCTGCTGCCTGCTCATCACGCCGTCCTAAGCCAAAATGAGTTGAGTCTAGACAGCAGCGCTTTTTTATATCTTTTCAGAATGATGTGCAACCAAGTGGTACTCGATTATGACGACTGGGTTTGGGAGGAACGTTTCTTTCATGAAAGCAGTGATAAAATTATCACTTTTTATTTGTACATTGGACAGTGCTTGACATTACAACTTTTTCAATAGTTTCAGAAAATCATCAGTCGGAAGTTGCTATTGATGCATGGAAATATTTCTGATCGATTGGTGATAACATTTTTGAAATTGGTCCAGGGGCAGCTGAGTTATTAATGTTCAAAATTTTTCATTATTTTGTTACATATTCCATTTTCGGTTTTCACAAAGTGTGCCCCCATATAGAAATCACAGACGTAGTCCTACGTCAAAAAGCTTCCGTCACTAACTATCTGGCGAAAACTCACTGATACGACAAGGAAACTTCACTCCCATGCTCCTCTCCTGACCCTTTCACCAAAAATGTCATCCTACTAACCGTCGGTCCCATCCATACTAGACTAGTAAAATCTGTAATTATTATTATTATTATTAATCTTTTAAAATTGTCGAACCTCTTAACCAAATCCCTTTATGAAGAGCTTTGAGTGGGGTTGGTTTATTTCCTTTAAATTCTGCTATAATTGCTTATCTTTTGACAGATACGCGTATATCGTCTACTACTTGCAGACTTCATCAGTGCCAAATACTCAACACCACTGAAGAATCCATCTTTTATCTACGAGTTATATACTAATCAATAGGTACTAAAAATCAGCAGGTTTCCACTGCCATGTCACAATTTACCTATCCAGGTACCTAAATTCAGTCTTCAACAGGTATAGACATGCTACGATGTGTGGTTTTAGGTAGCATGCTAAATAGTCTCTAGTATCCGTTTCCTTGATCTCTATTAAGCAATGTTGATGGATTATGTTTAAATCAGTGTTGGGAAAATATCAAAAAATCAAATCTCACCAACGCGTTGCAACGCCCAAGATCACGCTTGATTTTCGTAGACAAAAATCAACAAGCAAACAACTGTGGTTGATTTTACAAGCTGTGATATCGCTGCTCGAAATATCAAGCTAACAAAACTCACCAACTGCAAATCTCACCAAACTGTGGTGAGATTGAGTTTAATGATTTTTGGTTTACTCCAGAATGCAACCGAAACTTCGATGACGGCTTGCAGCAGTCCGTTCGCATCTGCCATCGGTGAAGATTAAAAAGAGATAGCAAACTATGCTTTCTCTTTCTAAGAAAACGATGTGCAATGGAATCATTTTTGTGTCGAGTCAACTCTTAGCTTGATTTTTGCACTTTGTGAATAGTCTCGCAATATCAAAGGAGCTTGTAAAATCAATGCCAAGCATGATATTTTGTTTCAATATCACGCGTGATATTGCGATCGCATGAGAGCGGAAAAATATCAATTGATTTCTGATTTTGCCAACACTGGTTTAAATATTTCTAAACTTTCAGCTACGTCTAGTTTCCAAGGCGAAGATACAGTCCGCAGGATATTAATGTTATCCTTAGTCAAATTGTGCCCCAACGATATGTTCTGCAACCTTGGATTTAAATTCATAATTAAGTCCTTTATCCATCTCTTTGTTAGCCTTTTTTATCTTTGCGATGTGTTCCTTAAACCTTGTTTCCAAAGTCCTTTTCGTCTGACCAATTTAGATTTTATTGCAATCTGGACAAGAGATTTTGTAGACTCCGGCTTTCCCTAAGACATTTATTGAAGCTTTTGTTGATCCTAACAGTGTCTTCAGCTGATTTGTCCTGCTGCTGAATACTAAATCTAGGCCAAAACTTCTAAACTTTGAAATCAATGGTTTGGTAATGTTTTGTCGAAATTCACCGCTACCCGTTTTAAACCTTCAGTTACTGGTGTAAGAGTTGTCGAAATACGCCTTAAATGATCTCTTGTTCTTTTATCGATTACTGCTTGAATTGTTTTTTTTCTTGATACCCATTAAGTCTAGCGATTTCAAAAATGTGAGCTATTTCCTTTGATTTGCCTGTATCGCTAAGAGGAAGAGTTTGCATCCTGTGAACCATGTGGTGAAAAGCGGCCATTTTGTGTTGATGGGATTGGTTTGAAGTGCTTGGTATTACTCTCTTCGTATTATTTCGAAATTGAACGAAGACGTTTCCCTGATGATGAGAAGATCTAAGAAGGGGAGTTTTCCGTCTCTCTCTTCTTCGTGAGTAAATTTGATGTCCTTGTGAACGTTCCTTATGGCCTCCAAAGTTTTTGATAAATCTTCCCTTTTGACAATGCTAAAGATGTCATCCACGTACCTATACCAACATTTGGGTAACAAATTCCTATCCTCCAGAGTATTTTCTAGGTTAGCCATGAACAATTCACATAAAAATGGAGAAAGCGGATTGGCCCTAGGAGCGCCTTTAGTTTGTTTATAAAAATTTCCTCTGCTATACAAAGACGAATAAGCTTGAGATATGACCGAACTTTGCTTTTCCACGTAGAATCCTCACGTTGCTGAAGGCTTCCTTTACTGGTACACTCGGAAAAAGTGCTGTGACATCAAATGAAACCATGACTTCATCTTCCCGAATCTCTCCTGATGCCTGAAGCTGACTTGCGAATTCCTGTGTGCTGTTAACTAAGCGAGTGGAAAAGGGTTTAGGCATATGTTGAAATTCCTTTACTAACCATTTGGCAAGTGGGGGATCCTTCAGCCGAGATAATCTCCCTCATTTCGTTTCCTGGTTTGTGAATCTTTGGTAAACCTTTGATCCTAGGTAGAATAGGGTTTGAAACTTTCAATTGATTCGTAGTGTTGCCAATAAACGCCTTGCACTCTTTCAACGTTTTATCCACATGTTTAACTATAGATGGGAGGGGTCAATCCTCAACTTTTCCACTCGCTCAGTTAACAGCACACAGGAATTCGCAAGGCAGCTTCAGACATCAGGAGAGATTAGGTTCCAAACATATACAACCAATGTTTTGGTACGTACTGAATAATGTTTATTAACGGTAACCGGAGTTAAAATTCGCCAATAAAAATTCATTTCATAAAGGGTGTCCACGAAGAAATTGCCACACACAAAATTGATTCGCAAAATTCGAGTTTTCATCCGATTGCCATCAAATTTTCAGGGATTGAGAAATAACTATTAAACTTCATTTTACCATTTTACTCGTATTTTATTTACAGTCCATACGCAAATGCCCGCACCTTGGCCTTAACCCCGGCCATAAGATTCTGCACAACCTGTGCAGAATTTTTTGCATGTAAACCCATACTTTCTTCAGTTCCTCGACTGTCTTCACTTTCTTAGGTCGTTTAAGAAGGTGCTGCTTCATAATCGCCCAGTACTTCTCGATGGGGCGGAGCTCCGGAGTGTTGGGAGGGTTGAACATTTTCGGCACGAAATTGACCTTATTGTCCGCATACCACTTCAGCACGTCCTTGGAGTAGTGGCATGAGGCCAAATCCGGCCAGAAGATTGTTGGGACGTTGTGGGCCTTCAGGAGAGGAAGCAGCCGCTTCTGGAGGCACTCTTTTATGTACACCTGTCCGTTCATCGTGTCCTGGGTCACGAAAGGTGCACTCCGCTTCCCGCACGTGCAGATGGCTTGCCAAACCAGGAATTTCTTCGCAAATTTGGACATCTTCTGAGTGCGGACATGCTCCGGAACGCTGAACTTATCCTTGGCCGTGAAAAACAGGTTGCCGGGGATCTGTTTGAAGTCGGCCTTCACATATGTTTCG